AAAACTCTCAAAATAGTAATTTTGTCCCTCATAACATCGTTACTTTAAAGTTATGGAAATTTGGGGGCACCTGGGTGATTGAGTTGATTAAGCATCCAATTCCTGATCTAGGCTCAGGTCTTGATCTAAAGGTTATAAGTTCAAGCCCTGCACTGGCCTCCATGCCCAAATCAACCAAACAATCAATGAAAATTTTGTACCCTATGATCCAGCAATCACACTACTAGGTATTTACTCAAAGAATACAAGGAATACATGCACTTCGATGTTTAAAGTAGCATTATGTTTTGTTTTTAAAGTTTTTAAAATGTTCATTATTTATTTTGAGAGAGAGAGAGACAGAGCAGGGAAGGGGCAAAAAGAGGGAGACACAGAATCCAAAGCAGGATCCAGGCTCTGAGCTGTCAGCACAGTGCCTGACACAGGGATCAAACCCACAAACTGTGAGATCATGATCTGAGCCGAAGTTGGATGCTTAACTGGCTGATCTACCCAGGTGGCCCTAAAGCAGCATTATTTACAATAGCCAATTATGGAAACAGCCTGTGTCCATTCACTGTTAATGAATAAAGAAGATGTGGTATATATGTACACAATGGAATATTAAGCATCCATAAAAAGAATGAAATCTTGCCATCTGCAACATGGGTAGAGCTAGAGAGTATTATGATAAGCGATATAAGTCAGTCAGAGAAAGACAAATACCATATGATTTCACTCATAAGTGAAATTTAAAACACAAAACAAAGAGCAAAGGGAGGGAAAAAATGAGAGAGACATTGGCAAACCAAGAAACACACTCAAGTATACAGAACAAACTGAGAGGCACTTGGGTGGCTCAGCTGGTTAAGTGTCTGACTTTGGCTCAGGTCATGATCTCACGGTTAGTGGGTTCAAGCCCCACAACGGGCTCTGTGCTGACAGCTAGCTCAGAGCCTGGAGCGTGCTTCAGATTCTGTATCTCCCTCTCTCTCTGACCCTCCCCTGCTCATGCGGTCTCTCTCTCTCAGAAATAAATAAAAAAATATTTAAAAAAACCAAAAATAACCAACTGATGGTTACCAGAGGTGAGGCATGTGGGGGGATGGGTGAAGTAAGTGATAAGAATTAAGGAGTGCACTTATTGTGATGACTACCAGGTGACGTATGGAAATGTTGAAGCACTATATTGTACACCTGAAACTTATATAACACTATGTGAACTGCAATTTAAGTAAAAGCTTTAAAAAAATAAAAAATTGGGGTGCCTGGGTGGCTCAGTCGGATGAGTGTCCACTCCTGATTTCAGCTCAGGTCATGATCTCACCGTTCTTTGTGAGTCTGAGCCCTGCATCAGGCTCTGCACTGACTGTGTGGAAACTGCTTGGGACTCTTTCTCTCTCTCTGCCCCTCCCCTGGTCATGCTCTCTCCCTCCCTCTCTCAAGATAAATAAGTAAGACTTGAAAAAATGAAAATAGAATCCATTAAATATAAAAACTTAATTAATTAGAGGCACCTGGGTGGCTTAGTCGGTTGAGCGTCTGACTTTCGCTTAGGTCATGATCTCGTGGTTCACGGGTTCGAGCCCCGCGTCGGGCTCTGTGCTGACTGCCAGCTCAGAGCCTGGAGCCTGTTTCGGAGTCTGTGACTCCCTCTCTCTCTGACCCTCCCCTGCTCACGCTGTCTCTCTCTCTCTCCTAGAACTAAAAAAAAACAAAAAAAACATTAAAAAAACTTAATTAAAAATATGGAAGTTTTAGAAACAATGCTAGGTCTTGTTATTTAGTGCATTAATAATGATGTATAGGGGCACCTGGGTGGCTCAGTCCATTGAGCATCTGATTTTGGCCCAGGTCATGCTCTCATATGAGAGTTTGAGCCTCACATGAGGCTCACTGCTCTCAGTGCAGAGCCCGCTTCAGATCCTCTGTCCCCCTCTCTCTTTGCCCCTACCCTGCTCATGCTCTCAAAAATAAATAAAACATTAAAAAAAAATAATGATGATGTACATATATTAATATATCATAAGCTTTTAAAAAATATTTTTATAATTATATTGTTTTCCTTTGTAGTTACACATATTTTTAAGTTTATTTATTTATCTTAAGAGAGATAAAGAGCATAAAAGCAGGTGAGGGGCAGAGAGGAGAGACTGAATCGCAAGCAGGCTCCACTCCATCAATGCAGAGCCCCCATGTGGGGCTTGAACACATGAACCAAGAGATCATGATCTGTGTGCCAAGATCAAGAGTCGGATGCCCAACAGATGAGCCATGTAGGCAGCCCTGTAGTTACACATTTTGAAATGTTATTCTCAGATGGACTCTATAGGTTTCACCAAAAGTACAACGGGTATGTGTCATAGGAAGAGTTTAAGAATCCCTGCAGAGGACAGAAAATGGATTAGGGGAGAAGGGCAAAGAGAAGTTAAAAAAACACGCAATCAAGGTAAGATTATGGAAGCTTAAACTAGGATGGTGGCAGTGCTGATGGAAAGAAGTAGAGCAATTTGAAAGGTAAAACTGACAGTACAGATTCTTTTCAACTGTAATTATCAAAGAATAATGTTATAAAAATGCTCATTATAATAAGATGGAAATTAAAATGCAGAATCTAGGGGCACTTGGTTGGCTCAGTTGGTAAAGCAAGTGACTCTTGATCTTGGGGTTGTGAGTTTGCATGTAGAGATTACTTAAAAATAAAATCTTGAAAACAATGCAGAATCTGAAACTATCAATATAGTATGATGCTGATTAAATTCTACTGTGTACAGAAAAGACTAAAATGATAGAAAGTATTTTAAAATGTTAAACATGGTTATCACTGAGTATGGTAGCATTAAAAACGTTTATTTTTTCCTTAGGACTTTCCTAATTTTTTCCATATTTTGTAAAATGAATCAGAAAAAACATAATTTTAGTTATTTTTGGGAAAATTCTAATGACATGGAAAAATGTTTATGATACATTTTAAGGTGAAAAAGTATATAAAATTGTACATAGAGTATGATCTCAACCATATATACATCTATAGTGATATTATGAATGATTTCTTTAAAGTTAATGTTTTCTAGGGTGCTTGGCTGGCTCAGTCGGTTGAGTGTCCGACTTCAGTTCAGGCCATGATCATGAGGTCTATGAGTTCGAGCCCCGTTTCAGGCTCTGCGCTGAGAGCTCCGAGCCTAGAGCCTACTTTGGATTCTGTGTCTCCCTCTCTCTCTGCCCCTCCCCCACTTGTGTTCTGTTTCTCTGTCTCTCTCTCTCAAAAATAAACATTAAAAAAATTTTTTAAATAAAGTTAATGTTTTCTACAGCAACTATAAATTAATTTTATAAATTCCATTATTAAAAACACTTTTTTTAATGTTTATTTATTTTTGAGAGAGACACATCATGAGTGGGGCAGAGGTGGGGGGGAGGCAGAGAGAGAGGGAGACAGAGAATCTGAAGCAGGCTCCAGGCTCTGAGCTGTCAGCACAAGCCTGATGCAGGGCTTAAACACACAGACCATGAGATCATGACCTGAGCCAAAGTTACTCGTTCGACCCACTAAGCCACCCAGGTGCCTCAATTAAATTATTTATTTTTTTATGTTTATTTATTGTTGAGACAAAGAGAAACAGAGCATGAGTGGGGGAGGGGCACAAAGAGAGAGGGAGACACAGAATCTGAAGCAGGCTCCAGGCTCTGAGCTGTCAGCACAGAGCCCAACGTGGTCTTGAACCCACAAACCGTGAGTGAGATCATGACCTAAGCTGAAGTCAGACACTTAACGGACTGAGCCACCCAGGCATCCCCCAATTCCATTATTTTTAAAGAGCACAAATGGGTGGATTAGTTTTGTACAGAAGGGTTCTTAAAGGGTTTAAAATGACAAGAACAATATTGAGATGGATAGAGTTTGTTTGTGGGGAAATAGGATATTGAGGAAATTTAAAGGTAAGGGATTCTATGGTCTCAGCAAAGCAGGAGGCAGATACCTATAGCAAGCAAAGGGGTTTATTAGCAATACTAGAATAAGGGTGAAGGTTTGGAACACTGCTATTGGGACACAGAGAACTGTCAGCACGCAGGGCTCGGCTAAGGATCTTTACAGACCAAAAGTAAATAGTATGGATTAATATTGTTCTCAAACTTTGTAAATAAATCATTTGTGGAACATCTTAAAAATGTTAGATCCCTAGTGGTGCCTGGATGGCTCAGCTGGTTGTGCCCAACTTTGGCTCAGGTCACAATCTCAGTTTGTTGGTTCGAGCCCTGCATAGGGCTCTGTGCTAACAACTCGGAGCCTGGAGCCGGCTTCATATTCTGTCTCTCTCTGCCCCTCCCCCACTCATACTCTGTCTCTCTCAAAAAATAAACATTAAAAAATTTTTTAAAAAAACAATTGTTGGGGCGCTTGGGTGGCTCAATTGGTTAAGCATTAGATTTTGGCTCAGGTAATGCTCTCGATGCTCATGAGTTCGAAGCCCACGTTGGGCTCTGTAGTGACAGCTTGGAGCTTGGAGCCTGCTTCAGATTCTGTCTCAATCTCTCTGCCCCTCCCCTGCTCATGCTCTATTTCTCTTTCATATATAAAATAAAACATTAAAAATATTTTTAATAAATAAAAATAAATTTTAAAAATGTTTAAAAAAATGTCAGAACTCTCTCCCAGTATGATTTAGTTTTATCTATGCAGAGGCCCAGTAAATATGGAGTTTTTACAGGAGAATGTATTTTAGGTGAGCTTAGATCAGGTTTGGTGACTGGTTTAGAGTCTGGCCTAAACACAAAGGACAAATCTATTAACATAGAAAATTTGTTCAGGTTCTCTCCATTCCAATCATTCCAACTGACACAGAAGAGTACAGGTGTGAAAAGTTTTATTGTGGTTTGTTTTGTTTCAGAATTTCAGGAGAATAAAAATCAGCTTAGAAAGACAAGTAAGAAAAAAGTAGCCAAGGCAAGACACATTAATAGTAAAAAATATACTATCATCTGTATTATACAATTCTGGGCCACACTTCTTATCACCTTACCTTTAGCAGGAAAGCAAAATTACTCTGCAGAGAATTAGCCACACCGCTTTCATACAATTTTTTCCTCATGTGGTTTTCATTCGCATTCCCACCACCAGATTGATACCTTAATAATGACTTAAGCATGGTTTCAAAAGGGTCCGCTGAAACAAATTAAACATTTCTGAGTCAAAGTGGACAACAGAACTGAAAACAAACAAAACAACAACTATAAAAACTCTAGCAAAAAACAAAGAGATCAAGGAGGTAGGTGACTGTAGCTAAGAGCATGGCAACTTTTTTCCGAACTCCCTTCATTATTTTTTCTAAATATGAACAGTTCAAGAGGCAATAAAAACTGGCAAAAATACAATATCCTGACTGGCAATTACACTATAAATAATTAATACTTAACGTAAATTTTCTACCTACATGACAATATCTCTGATTTTTAAAAAAGCTCATTTCACTGGTTTAAAAGCAAAATTGTTGTTTGTGTGTAATGGTCAAGTATTACAGTTAAAATTATTTAGCTGAGTTCAGAAATTTTTTCTTTTTCATCCATTTTTTAAGTGTTTCTTTATTTACTATATTGCTTCCATACAAAAAAAAAATACACTGTCATTGTAAACAATTAAAACAACAGTAAAATACAAAAGAAAATTTGTCTAAATTTCACCAGAGAGATGATATAATGTTAAACATTTTTGAGACAGCCTTTTTTTTTTAAGAGAGAGAGAAAGAGAAAGAGGAGGGGCAGAGGGAGAGAGAATCCCAAAAAGGCTCCACGCCCAGCCTAGAGCTCCAAACCAGGTTCAATCTCATGACTATGAGATCATAACCTGAGTGAAAATCAAGAGTCATCGTTCGATCAACTGAGGCACCCACGTGCCCCAATGAGTGTTTTTTTTTAATAGCTGTTAACATTACTTAACAGAGAAACAGAAAAATGTCAGAGTTTGCAAAGAACACAAACCCTTCTTTCAGAGCACTTCTCCCAGTTCATTAGTGTGATCATTTAAATAATGTTTACATGCTTCTCCTACTCCCTAATATTATACTATAAACTTCACAGGAGAAGGGACCATGCCTGGTTTTACTCATCTTTACATTTCCTGACAGAGCCATCCTTCAATGTTATGGAAAACTTAGTGATTAAGTGCACAAACTCAGACCAGACTGCCTACCTTCAAGTCCCAGCTCTATCACTAATAACTTGGGTGATCTTGGGCCAATGACTTAACCTCTTGGTACCTCAGTTTTCTCTAATGTCTACTTCATAAGGTTGTTCTGAGGATTAAATGAGTTAATATCTGTAGATGTCTTATAATAGTTTTTGCATATAGTAGGCCATACAGATATTTGATAAACAAAATACATCATTATATTAAGGCCTGAATATATTTTTTCATTCAGCCACTAATATTTAACTTTGCTTCAATTTTTTATGGTAAATAATATTAATGTCTTTTCTTATGAATATCAATTTATGATAAATTCCTTATGACAGTATTGCTAAGTCAAATATCCTGCCAACCCACTCTCCCAAGTTTATAATATATTTACATTCCATGTTTGCCTATTTCCTTATCAACAATGCATTTTGCCAATATTCTTCATATCTTCCAAGTCAGATAGGTAAAACTTTTATTTGCATCCCACTAATTATTAGTGAGGTTGAAATCTTCACTTGCTTATTGGCCATTTTTATTTCCTCTTTCTTCATTACCTTGTTTTTGCCCACTTTTCTGTATCTCCATTTTATTTTTACTTTATTAGTTTTTATTTACATATATAGGTGGCAAATCGTTTCCCCATATTTCTTTTAAACTTTTTCAAGGTACCTTCTTAATTTACAGAAATGTAGTAATCAACCAGTCCATGTCATGTCTAGTAATCTGTGCTTTTTATTTTAATGAAATTTCTCATTTTTATGTAGATTCACATAAAAATTTAAGACAGATTTACCCATCTTGTGCTCGTCGGCTCCTACATCTCATGTTATAGTAAGAAAAGGTTTATCAACACCTACCCCCAATTTAATATTTAACCATATTTTATTCTAATACTTTTAGGACTTTAAATTTTAATAATACGGAATTTATTTTGATATTAAGAATAAGGCAAGGATGTAGATTTATTTTTTCCAAATAACTAACCAGTTTTCCAAAACCATTTATTACCTTTCCCCTTTATCATAAAATGCTCTCTTTATCATGTATGCTTGGTTTGTCTACGAGACTATCTACTCTGCTCCATCAATCTGTCTAGTCTTACCACAATACAAGATTCTTTAAATTAATCTAGATTTACAGCATATTGCTCTACCTGATGGTACAATTATTCCCCTCATGAATATTCTTTTCTAGATGTTTTCTGACTGTTCAAGTACCTTTACTATTCCAGATGCACCCTGGAACTATTTTTTTTTCCCAAAAAAATCCTGTTGGAATTTATATTGGGATTCTACTGTATAAATCTATAAATTGAGGAGAAAAATAATCATCTTATAATACTGTCTGTATATTCAGTGAGGTACTAATTATACAAACCTTAGCATAATGCCTGGCACATAACATAAAACATTTAATAAATGTTAGCTGGTCCTACCCATTAACATGTATGCTCTTCACATAGGGATGTTTATTCTTAAAAGATAAGGAAGAGCTAATTAGAAAAAAATTAAACTTACATGTCTTATTGGGGTTGATATGCTGCTTCAGGACATCAACAGTGCCCAAACTAACCACAAGGCGCCTGCCAAACCAGAAAGAGACCACAGGCCCATATCTCTCATGCAAATTAACCAGGAACTCGTGCAAACTTCCACTGTTCACAATATCTGGAAGATTACCATCTCTGAGAAAAGAGCAACAATTGATAAAATAACTTGTAAAAATAAGAAATTTAACTTGGAAGAATCAGAAAAACAGTAACTGATTTTGAGTTAACTCTGTCAACTGATGAGAGCAGAGTTGCATGAAATGCAAATTACCGCAAAATCTAAAACTTAAATTTGACTTCTCACTTTTCGTAGTTATATTTAGATTTGGACTTTTCAATGTTTTGAGAATTATAACAATTCAAACCAAGAAGAAAGCTACACAAGGAACATCAAGTAGACAGTGGAAAATGATCCAATTTTTGCAAAATCTCATTTTGAGATAGTAATGAATCATAGGGTGATTTAAAGGAATTAAACTATGTAACCTAAAAATATGGTTTAGTTTTGATACCAAAAATTAAGAGTTAACTCTACTGAATTCCAAAAAAATAAATAAATACATAACTACTCACTTTTCTTCAGTTGGTGTAATTCCTGGAATTCCTGCAGCTTGTCTAGAAGCCTTAAGGAGAAATTTAAACATAGTATAATGACTTAGTCTATAACATATAATTTAATATATAATACATAAGCATATAATCTATAAATCAGATATTTTGCCAAAACATCTGCAGGACTAAGTGATGGCTTTCCAATTTGGTTGGATGTTGAGAATTGTTACGTCTTAAAATACAAAAACTGGGTTCTTGTATTTAAAAGAATAATCTTAATATTCTTCCATCATGTCAATTAAACTAACAAGTTTGAAAAACTTAACATCCATTCTACATCAACTAACATATAATGAAGTACCTTTTTTGCTGTTGTTCTGAGTCTATATATAGCCCCTTCTGGCTTGGCTTTAAAAAAAAAAAATCAATATCATGCTAACAACGGTTTCATTCCTTAAATTGTTCTCTAATTAAAAAATTTACCAAAGTACAATTATGATAGTCATCTTTTGCTTTAATGTAGTCATTTAAAAAATTATTTTAGAGAAAGTATGCACAAGTAGGGAAAAGAGGGAGAGGGAGAGAGAGAATCCTAAGCAGGTTCCATGCTCAGCACAAAGCCTGACTTGTGGCTCAATCTAACAACTCTGAGATCATGACCCGAGCTGAAATCAAGAATTGTACACTTGACTGATTGAGCCATTCAGACGGCCCTAATGTAGTCATTATTGTCAGGGTCATACAGTCACTGAGGTATGTGGCATACAAATAATAAAATAATTCATAGCAAATTGTTCAAGCAACAACCTCTAAAATGAACTAGGGGAAAGTATGGGAAATTTTAATATTTTACAATTTTACGTCGGGTTTATAGCTGCTGTGTTTTGGAATCAATGTTATTTTTTACTTAGTTTTTATCTTATGACAAGTGTATTATTCTTACAAGACTTTTTATAATTTTTTTTAATGTTTATTTATTCTTGAGAGAGAGACAGAGGAGACACAGAATCCGAAGCAGGCTCCAGGCTTCCAGTTGTCAGCACAGAGCCTGAGGCAGGGCTCAAACCCACAAACCGTGAGATCATGACCTGAGACGAAGTTAGACACTTGACCAACTGAACCACATAGACGCCCCACTTTTTATAATTTTTTTTTATGTTTTATTTATTTCTAGGAGAGAGAGAGAGAGACAGCGTGAGCAGGGTAGGGTCAGAGAGAGAGGGAGTCACAGGCTGAAACAGGCTCCAGGCTCCAAGCTGGCAGTCAGCACAGAGCCCGACGCGGGGCTCGAACCCACGAACCACGAGATCATGACCTAAGCGAAAATCAGACGCTTAACCGACTAAGCCACCCAGGCGACCCTGCTTTTCATAATTTTTAAATAAACTAAATATTTCTAGAAAAAATAACCTGAAATATTTACTCCAGGATCAATTCTGAATTCTGTCAAAGATTTTGACTAATATTAATCAGTGTTTATCTGGCATTCTGCCCTTTTTCCCCCTAGCATTACATAAGTAAATGAATAAGTATTTCTTTACTTGAAAATTTACTTTTTGTATCTTAATTAAAAGATTTCTTTTTTTATTTTTAATTCCAGTACAGTTAACATACAGTGTCATATTAGTTTCATGCATACAACATAGTGACTCAACATATTTGAACATTTAAAGGCCAAACTGTATTCCATCATGTAGTAGAAAGGGCACCTGGATGGCTCAGTTAGTTCCGCGTCTGACTTTGGCTCAAGCCATGACCTTTCAGTTCCTGGGTTCGAGCCCTGCATTGGGCTCTGCGCTGACAGCTCAGAGCCTGGAGCCTGCTTTGGATTCTGTCTCTTTCCCTCTCTGCCCCTCCTTCGCTCATGCTGTCTCTCCCCTTCAAAAATAAGTATTAAAAGTTTTTTAAATTTAATTTTAAATTTAAATACAACTTAATTTTAAATACAATTAAAAAAATATTTAAAAGAAATTCCTTAATCATTTTCTTACTATACTGCTGTAAAACATCTCAGCTATTTCTTTTCTTTCTTTCGTTTTTTCATTAATATAAGTAGTGCTATAAAAACCTTTGTACGACTTTACTTTTTTTCTCCTTTGGGGTATGCATGCCGAAACAGAAATACTAGATTGAATGGTACTAACTATAGAGTTTTTTAGTTTCTGCTATATACTACAAGAATGCTATCTAGGTATATGTCACTTGTGTTTAACTTACAACAATGAAATCTATACACTGTATAATTCTGTCCTACAGTCATCCATAATGGAAACTTGTCACGTTTAATATTACAATTAGGGGAGGAAATTAGAAAACACCACCTTGTTTTGTAGACAGGTTAAGAGATGATTACTCATCTACTAGCTCCTTTCTCAGAATCACCCTCTGAGGCTGATAAAGGCAAGCATATAAGGCTAAGAACAAGATTCAAAACTAATGCAAAGTAGCCAGGTCAAGCTCAGGAACTAACCCACCACAGGGCTCATTCCACAACTCATCTGCTTCCAGCGCTGTGAGAAGAGCAAGACCGGTCTGGGTCGTGAGGACTTTGGATTTCAGTAATAACAAAAGGAAAGACGGATGGAAAGGCGGGGAAAGGAGAGGGTTAAAAAAAAAAAAAAAAAGCCGAGAGAATCCTCAGAAAAGACAAAGGAGTGGAGCACCCTCGCACACTCAAGATTCCTTCCAGGCACTGGAAAATGGAAACTGGGTTTGGCAGGATTACTGCCAAAAAGCCACCCCAAAGTACTTCCCGCGCAGCCTGTGATAAAGGCCTGTGATAAAGGCGTGGCAGTGCCGGGAGCAGGGAGGCAGGACCCCGAAGAAGGGCCCTGAGGCAGCCACACGCCCTTGACCGTGCGCCCCTGAGGGGTCGTCGAGCCGCCCGCGCCGCTCTCCTCCCAGCGCAGCCCGCGCGGGCCCCGCGAGACGTCACGTGCTCGGGAGCTGCAGCTGCGCGAAGCGGGAGCGGGAACGCGAGCGGGAGCGGGAGCCCGAGCCCTCCCCTCACGCCCGCCCCCTGCAGCCCAAAGTGCGCAGAGCGACCACGCTGCGGCAACACAGAGGCTGGGGCGGCGGCCAGAATCCCCAGGGCCGAGACGGCGGTTACCGGATAAAGGTAGAGCACCGCTGCCACCAACGCCAGCAGGAAGGTAACGGCGAAGATCGCAAAGTCCAACATGGCTCTTCCGCCAAGGAGCCACGTCTCACGTCCCGGGATCCGGCAGCCGCTCCTCAGCCTGGCCAGCTCTGCGGAATGGGCGTGAGGGCGGAGGCGTCCTGCGGAACTTCCGAACCAATGGCCCCACCGGGGGGCGGGGCTGGCGGGGTGAGCAATGGAGCGCTGAGGCCCGCGGCGGGGCCAGAGCCACACCCCAAGGCGGAGGTGGCGGCGCGCACGGCCTCCGGGCACGCCCAGGATTTGGGGTCCTTGCTGCAGGGGAAAGTGGAGTCCAGGCTTTTGAAACATGTTAGGAGTTACCATCGCCCTACCCCGACCAACCATTGTCCCAGTGGTTTTAGGATTAAAACTCATAAACCAAAGATTCTTACAGTGTGGCTTCTGGAGCAGCAACAGCAGCACCGGGGAACTTTCTAGAAATGCTGATTGTCTACCCCACTCTAGACCTGCAGATTCAACAGTTGAGCGAGGGGTGTGTGTGTGGGGGGGGGGTCGTCTGCAATCTGTGTTTTATTTAACAGAGCTGTTTAACACGGTGAGAACCACTGACACCCAAGCTCACCTGGACCAGGGTGTCTTCAGAGTCAAGCATTATTAGATTGCCTTGTTTCGAAAAAGAAATTATTTGAAGTGCTAATAAATGTGATTTCTTGGCACTTTCTCGTGATTGAAGGCAGCGAGCTGTTCAGTTATGGATAAGATTTCCTGACTCTGCTGGTTTCAGAAAATGGAATATTCTAAGCTTCCATTTCTTTATAAAGCAATGGAAGTAATACCACACAGAGTTGCCTGCAGTAATAAATTAGGTATTTCATGGAAAGTACTTAATACAGTTCCTGGCAAAATGCTAGTTAGTATTTAGCACCTATTATTTAGTTATTCTGAACATAAAAGTATCCTAGGATCTTTTACAGGACTCAGAAGGTTTTTGTTTTTTTTTTTAATGTTCATGTATTAATTTTGAGAGAGACAAAGCTTGAGCAGGAAAGGGGCAGAGAAAGAAGGAGAGAAAAAATCCCAAGCAGGCTCCGAGTCCCAGAGTTCTTTCCCACTGACTGGGAGATCATGACCTGAGCTGAATTCGAGTCCCACACCTTATGTATAGAGTTACCCAAGCCCTGATTCCAGAGTTTTGATATGTATAATGCAAGGCAAGGCCCACTACTTACTGGTGTTCCCTTTAGTGAATGTGCACTCAAAGCATATATAGATTTTATAGCTTTCATAGTATAAAGTCTGTCTCTCTCACACACACAGACACACATACATTCACACACACAAAGGCAGTAATTCAGTAAGAGAAATAATTTGAGATTGCATTTTAGAACATCTGTGATAAACGACTTATTGCGTAAGCATGAAACAGATCTCACTGAAAATGCCAAGTCTTTTTGACATCTTTAGTAAATACAACAAAATGTTGCTATTTGATATTTCAATTCAAAAGCAGAAATTGTACTTTTTTTAAAGGTAAGTGTTTTTTTTAATATATTATTTTTTTGAACAGGCTTCATGCCCAGCTTGGACCCCAATGCCGGGCTTGAGCTCATGACCTTGAGATCAAAGCTGACTGACTGAGCCACCCAGGTGTCCCAAGAAGCTTTTTTTCTTTTTCTTTTTTTTTGAGAGAGAGAGCTTGCATGAGTGTGCATGAGCCAGGGACCGGCAGTGAGAAAGTTGAGGAGAGGGAGAAAGAGAATCCTAAACAGGCTATCTTGGTCCAACAACCTTGAGATTATGACCTGAGCCTAAATCAAGAGTTGGAGGCTTAACCAAGCAAGCCACACAAGCACCCCTAGAAATTGTACCTTTAACTGTAGTTCTCTGTGTATAGATGTGTTTGAAAAGTTCATTTCTATTTTTTTAGATTGGGTTATTTATTTTATTTTTTATTTTTTGAGAGAGTGTGCATGAGTGAGCAGGGTAGGGGCAGAGAGAGAGAGAATCCCAAGCAGTCTCTGCTCTGTCATTATAGAGCCTGATGTGGGACTCAATCTCAAGAACTATTAGATTATGATCTGAAATCAAGAGTTGGACACTCAACTGACTGAGCCACCCAGGCACCCCAAAAGTTCATTTTTAAATGTCTTCTTTCAGGGGCTCCTGGATGACTCAAGTGTCTGACTCTTGATTTAAGCTCAGGTCATGATCTCATGGTTGTGGGAGTAAGCCCTGAGTCAGGATTCATGCTGACAGCTGGGAGCCTGTTGGAATTTTCTCTCTCTCTCTCTCTCTCTCTCTGCTCCTCCCCTGCTCCTGCTGACATGCATTCACACACACTCTCTCAAAATAAATAAACTTAAAAAAAAAATCTTATAGGGGCACCTGGGTGGCTCAGTTGGTTGAGCGTCTTACTTCAGTTCAGGTGATGGTCTTGCAGTTTGTGGGTTCAAGCCCTGCATCAGGCTCTCTGCTGATGGTGTGGAGCCTACTTTGGATCTTCTGTCCTCATATCTGCCCTTCTCCTACTTTCTCTCTCTCTCTCTCTCTCTCAAAAATAAATATTTTAAAAAACTAGGCAGTTTGTGGAAAAACTACAAAAAAGATACTTAAAAAGTATCTTATAAATAAATATCTTCTTTGGAATATTAAAGACATTTCCCCTGTAAATTGTGTTCCAAATAGGTTTTCAAAAACAGTAAATATCAGATTTTTTTTTTTTTTGCGAGAATGGGCGCAAGTGAGCGAGGGAAAGAGTGAGAGGAATGGGCTCATGTTCACGTACAGTGGGGCTCAAGCTCACACAATGAGGGACTTGAACTCAGGAACAGCGAGATCATGACCTGAGCCAAAGTCATATAGTTAACTGACTGAGCCACCCAGGTGCCCTACACATCAGATTTTTAAATACCTAATGCACTTAGAGATGCCTAGCTGGCTCAGTCAGTAGAGCATGGGACTCTTGATCTCAAGGTTCTGAGTTTGAGCCTCATTTTGGGTGTAGAGATTACTTAAAAATAAAGTCTTTAAATGCCTAATGTAGTTAAATAACTGTAACTCCAGGCACTTATATTTCAGGATATCTGGACTCCTTATTTAGTCCTAAATTGACCTATAAATAGCCACAGAACCTCTGAGGTTTGAGGGACTGTGAAGAGAGATAAAGATTACAGAGGTTGAGCAGGATACAATATTTTGAGACTGAATCTCTAAAACTATGTAACTGTCTCTTCTGTGTTCAAACTTTTGCTGAGATACTACCTAAAAATATTTTAAAAAATCTTTTTAATGTTTATTTATTTGAGAGAGAGAGTGTGTGAGAGAACGCCAGCAAGGGAGGGCCAGAGAGAAAGGGAGACCCAGCACCCGAAGCAGGCTCCAGGCTCTGAGCTGTCAGCACAGAGCCCAATGCAGGGCTCAAATCCATAAACAGCAAGATCATGATCTGAGCCGAAGTCAGAGGTTTAACCAACTGAACCACTCAGATGCCCCTACAAACCATGTATATACTTTCACACATTTTGATGTTGATATCTAAAATTTTTATCTTGGCTTAAAACGATTAAATTTTCAGTGTATTTTAAATATTCACATTTTGAAATTATTATATATCTTTTAAATGTATAAAAAGGAATTTAAATACCATAGTGATGTAATGACTATCATTGAGCATTTATTTTTATTTTTTATTTTTTAATTTACATCCAAGTTAGTTAGCATATAGTGCGATAATGATTTCTGAAGTAGATTCCAGTGATTCATCCCCCATGTATAACATCCAGTGCTCATCCCACCAAGTCTCTTCCTTAATGCCCCGTACCCATTTAGCCCATCCCCCCACCCACAACCTCTCCAGCAACCCTCAGTTTGTTCTCTGTATGTAAGAGTCTCTTATGTTTTGTCCCCATCCCTGTTTTTATATTATTTTTGCTTCCCTTCCCCTATGTTCATCTGTTTTGTATCTTAAATTGCACATATGAGTGAAGTCATATGATAAATGTCTTTTTCTGACTGACTAAATTTGCTTAGCATAATACCCTCCAGCTCCATCCACATTGTTGCATATGGCAAGATATCATTTTTTTTTGATTGCCAAGTAATACTCCATTGTATATGTATACCACATCTTTATTCATCTGTTGATGGACATTTGGGTTCTTTCCATACTCTGGCTATTGTCAATAGCGCCGCTATAAACATTGGGGTGTATGTGCCCCTTCGTAATAGCACACCTATATCCTTTGGATAAATACCTAGCAGAGCAATTTACTGGGTCACAGGGTAGTTCTGTTTTTAACTTTTTGAGGGACCTCTCCATCCTGTTTTCTAGAGGGGCTGCACCAGTTTGCATTCCCACCAGCAGTGCAAAACAGATCCTCTTTCTCCACATCCTCTGTTGTTGCCTGAGTTGTTAATTTTAGCCATTCTGACTGGTGTGAGGTGGTATCTCATTGTGGTTTGGATTCATATTTCCCTGATGGTGAGTGATTTGAGCATTTTTTCATGTGTCTGTTAGCCATCTGGATGTCTTTGAAGAAGCGTCTGTTCATGTCTTTTGCCCATTTCTTCATGGGATTATTTGTTTTTTGGGTGTTGAGTTTGATAAGTTCTTTATAGATTTTGGATACAAACCTTTTATCTAATATGTCATTTGCAAATATCTTCTGCCATTCCATCAAGAATGCCATTCTATGGTGGTCTCAAGCTATGTATATGGTGGTGTAGCTGCAGGAGATAAGAAGATATGGCTGAATACAGGCCCCCAAATCTAATTGTGCAGGTTGTAGAGTTTCAATGCCTAGTTAAATTTTGCACAGTCTTGCTGGGGCGCCTGGGTGGCTCAGTTGGTTAAGCGTCCGACTCTTGATTTCGGCTCAGATCATGATCTCGTAGTTTGTGAGTTCAAGCCTCACATCAGGCTCTGAGCTGATGATGTGGAATCTGATTGGGATGCTTTCTCACTCCCTGTCTCTCTCACTTTACCCCTCCCCCAGTTGCACTATCTCTCTCTCAAAAAAGTAAACAGAACAACAAAAAAACCACAACCTTGCCAAAATCTCTTAATCTAAAGTTAGAGCACTGTTTGAAAAGGAATAGGACGCTGAGATAAGGACATCTGGTCAGTGCAAGACAAAGCCAAAACCCCACATTCCTCTGAACCTCCCTTCCTCTTTCCTTTCTCTCATATAAAAGTCTTATTTTTTAAATCCAAGTTAGTTAACATATAATGTAATAATGATTTCAGGAATAGAACTTAGTGATTCATCACTTACATATAAAACCCAGTGCTCATCCCAACAAGTGCCTTCCTTAATGCCCATCACCCATTTAGTCCATCCCTCCACCCAACACCCCGCCAGCAATCCTGTTTGTTTTCTGTATTTAAGAGTCTCTTATGGGGGCGCCTGGGTGGCTCAGTCAGTTAAGCTTTGGACTTTGGCTCAGGTCATGATCTCGTGGTTTGTGCGTTCAAACCCCGTGTTGGGCTCTGTGCTGACAGCTCAGAGCCTGGAGCCTGCTTTGGATTCTGTGTCTCCCTCTCTCTCTGCCCCTCCCCTGCTCACACACACACAGACTCTCTCTCTCTCTCAAAAAAAAATAGGCACGAAAAAAGAAAAGAGTCTCCTATGGTTTGTTTCCCCCTCTCTGTTTTCATCTTATTTTTGCTTCCCTTACCCTATTTCACGTTTTGTATCTTAAATTCCATATATGAGTGAAATCATATTTGTCTTTCTCTGATTTATTTAGCTTAGCATAATATACTCTAGTTCCATGAATGTTGTTGCAAATGGCAAGATTTCATTCTTTTTTATCACTAGGTAATGTTCTACTGTATATCTACATATACCGCATCTTCTTTATCCATTCATTAGTCAATGGACATTTGGACTCTTTCCATACTTTGGCTATTGTTGATACTGCTGTTATAAACATTGGGGTGCATGTGTCCCTTCGAAGCAGCACACCTGTGTCCTTTGGATAGATAACCTTGTAGTGCAATTGCTGGGTCATAGGGTAGTTCTATTTTTAATATTTTGAGGAACCTCCATACGGTTTTCCAGAGTGATTGCACCAGTTTACATTCCCACAAGGAGTGCAAATGGGTTCCTCTTTCTCTGAGTCCTTGCCAACATCTTTTATTACCTGAGTGGTTTTTTTTTTAATGTTTATTTATTTTTGAGAGAGAGAGAGAGAGAGAGAGAGAGAGAGAGAATCCGAAGCAGACTCCAGGCTCTGAACTGTCAGCACAGAGCCCAATGCGGGCTCGAATTCACCAACTATGAGATCATGACCTGAGCCGAAGTCAGACACTTAACCGACTGAGCCACCCAGGTGACCCATGAGTTGTTAATTTTAGCGATTCTGACCGGTGTGCGGTGGTATCTCATTGTAGTTTTGATTTGTATTTCCCTGATGATGAGTGATGTTGAGCATCTTTTCATCACATAAAAGTCTTTTCAGAAATTTCTCTTGGGTCAGTTACATCACAAGGGACTACCTCTTATCTGGAGGATCTCCCATTTCCCCTCATTATCTTCAGGCATATAGAGAGAATTAAACGTATCATGGCCCACAAAGAGAAATGTCTAATCAATACCTAGAGAAAATAACCTAACAGTAGCATTAAAAAAAAAAAAAAAAAAAAAAAAAGATGCTGGTGGTGGAGCCACCCCAGCAGAATGGAGGAACTTATTATTGACATTTTTATAATTGCCGGCACATGGTGATAATAAAAAGCAGAAGACATTTAGTTGGTTTATTGTTGCTTTAAAATTCTCTACACACAGTGCTCACTTCAGCAGCACATATACTAAAATTGGAACAATACAAAGATTAGCATGGTCCTTGAACAAGGATGACATGCAAATTCATGAAGTATTCCATATTAAAAAATAAAATAAAATATAATTCTGTACACACAATGCACCCCCTTTTGTCTGAACCTGGAGCAGAACACTGGCTTATACATCAAACAGTAAGGCCTTGTTAATTTGTTTTTTTTTTTTTTTAATTTTTTTTAATGTTTTTTATTTATTTCTAGGAGAGAGAGAGAGACAGCGCGAGCAGGGGAGGGTCAGAGAGAGAGGGAGTCACAGACTCTGAAACAGGCTCCAGGCTCTGAGCTGGCAGTCAGCACAGAGCCCGACGCGGGGCTCGAACCCACGAACCGCGAGATCATGACCTAAGCGAAAGTCGGACGCTTAACCGACTAAGCCACCCAGGCGCCCCAAGGCCTTGTTAATTTGTGTCAGAGAGAACTTAGGTCGATTCTAGGCATGTCTGTTTAAAAAGAATAAAATGTAAAGGCTAGTAAGGGCAAGTATATTTATATCGTTTCATTCATTCAGGATTTGAGATTTTAGTGTTACCTTGAGCACCTGATATTAGGTATGAATGTGCTTGTTTGGTTAACTGAAGCCTGGATTCAATACTGGCCAACAGTCATTCAAGTTGAGATGCCAGATATTTCCCCAGATATTTCCTGGCATACTGTTTTGCAGGGGTCAGAAAACTAAGAAATGTGGGGTCCCATCTGTTTTTGTAAATAAAGTTTAATGGGAAGACATATATGCTCATTTATTGATGTATTGTGTATGGCTGCTTTCATGCCACAATGGCAGAACTGAATAGCTGTGACAGAGACCGCATGGCTCTCAAAGTCTAAAATATTTACTATCTGGTCCTTTAACAGAAAGAGCTTGTGGGTCCTTTCTATAGGGGAAAGAAATCTACATATTTAGGGAGATGGAAATGTTGGTATGGATTTTGTTGACGTGTTAAAACACAACTTACAAAGGAAGTTAACAAACTGTTACATAAGTGATATTCTGTCTTTCTGCCCTAAAATATACCTTCATAATGCCAAATTTAAAGTATGTGTAAAGCTATGGTTTTTATGATTGAAAGTCAATAAACTAACAAAAATAGGTGAACTTAATTATTGCACTTGCCTGGGTATTCTATAATGGTCTAGTGTGTTTGGATAAAAGATAAAATATAGACACATAATTCAGAAATTATTCATTTCATTAAATTAATTTTTCTTCATTTCAACAATTATGTCTATTTTCATAATCAAGGTTTTCACATCTTTTGCATTCTTCTGGCAGTAATGCCAAATTAGCTGGTCTTGGTCATAGTATTTCTTGGATAGATTTTTTAAAAAAATAATCTTTTCAGGTTTATTGAGGCATGGTGCATATAAAGGATAATTTTAAAATTCTTTTAAATTGGACAAATTTTGCTTTGTTGAGACAGTAGGGAATAATTTGGCTCAGGTAGCAAAAGAGAAAAGAATGCGTAACTGCTATGTACTATTTTTCATGTTCATTAGTATGTTAGGCTGAATAATGGTACTCAAATATGTCCACATCTTAATCTCTGGAATTTGTGAATGTTATTTTACATGGTAAAATACACTTTGCAGAGGTGACTAAACGAAGATTCTTGAAATGGGAAAATCAACTTGGATTATCCATATGGGCCCAACATAATCACAATAGGCCTAATAGGAAGGACACAGGAAGTCAAAAACATAAAAGAAGGCAATGGGATAATGGAAGCAGAGATTAAGGTGATATACTTTGAAGATGGAGAAAGTGGCCATAAACCAAGGAACATAAGTGACCACTAGAAACTGAAAGACAGGGAAACTGATTTTCCCCACAGAGCTTCTAGAAATCTATCCTGCTGACATGTTGACTTTAGCTAAGCTCAGTGAAACTGATTTCTAACCTCTGACCTCCAGAATTATAAGAGTGAATTTATGTAATTTTAAACCGCTAAATTTGTGCCAGGTTGTTATAGCACCAACAAGAATGTAGTATAATGACCTTTAAATAAAATGGAACAACTTAGGGAATATCTATCAATCAATTAAATACTATCTTAAGTAATTAGATTCAGGGTATTAGCTATTCACTTCAAAGAAACTTACTTTGCCTCTCTTACTAAAAGATTACTCCTTGCCAAGGAATTAAGTTCTCTTATCTAAGCAACTGAACTCCCTGAATAAGATTTGTCTCTTTATTTTAGTCTATGTTGCCATAACATTATATGTATCATATATTCCCTTGTTTAATAGTTTGTAATTTATTATTAACCTTTTAGTACATTTTTATGAACAATTCCATACTTGTTACCTAACACTTTAACATATGTAGCAATAATCTGGATCCCTACAACCAGTATGTCAATTGGTCTACTTTCATTAAAATAAAATTAAAATTATGTATTACAATAGTATATTTCTTTTAAAATTTGTTTTGGTTTATTATCTTATGAATCACAGCTTACCTGACAAGCATCCTACTATATCTCATCACATCCTTCAGATGACTGTGTCTGCTCTGGTTAATGATGTGCTGGACTTAATAATTTATACTCAGAGGGTGGTCAATGATCCCTCATTTTCTTGTTCTGATTTTTTAAAGTTTTTTTACTTTTTTAGTAATATCTACTCCCAAATATGGGGCTCAAACTCACAACCCTGAGATCACGAGTTACATGCTTTGCCAACTGAGCCAGCCAGGTGCCCCCAATAGTGCATTTTTTACCTCTGATCCCTTAATGTTATTTCATTTGATTCTCAAACATCATTAACACTCTATTTTACGGATGAAGTAACTGAAACTAGATAGGTTTAAGTGTTGTCATAGAGCTAGTTTATAGGAGAAATGTTAACTTGAAGTCAGATCTTTTGTTCCAGGTGCAGGCCCTTCACTGCATCCCATTCTATTAAAGACATATGATAATATCTGAGATTCTTGACCAATATTGATGGGTAGATCAAAATTTCCCATTTCATAGTAGTGACCTTAGTACATTAGGATCTGTTAACAGTAAATAAGACAACTGTGAGAAATTAAAGAATGAGGGTTGTCTTGGGATGCCTGAGTGGCTGCGGGTTGAGCATCTAACTTTGGCTCAGGTCATGATCTCACAGGGTTCAGGTCATGATCTTGAGGCTTGTGAGTTCGAGCCCTTCATTGGGCTCACTATCACTGCAAAGCCCGCTTTGGATCTTCTGACCCCTCTCTTTGCCCCTCTCCCACTTGGGTGCGCATTCTTTCTCTCAAAAATAAAGACATTAAAAAAAATGTTGTCTTAGGAAGGAAACCACTAAAATACACTGCATTATAAATTAGTGATTTGCACTGTAATTATATGCGTTGCTTTCTTGTGAACTTGTGTCAATTAGCATTCCCGAGTTTGATTTTCTTTAGGATAGTGATAGGCCCAGGTCCTAAACCATGACAAGCTCATCAAGGAATCACCATCTGGAGAAAGGATGCACCTGGATAAATCTCCCTGTGTGACTATGACTCTAATTAATAAGAATATTAGTTAATATACTCACTATTCATTTAGCCAGTGTGGAAAAACAAAAGTATTTGCATATAACAACCACTCAAAATGATTTTGTTTTAATGAAAATTTAGATTACCTTCTCAAATAAAAGTTCCTTAAACTTTTATACCTCAAATAAAAGTTCCAGCTGATCCATATATTCCCTTTCAGATGTAAAATTTTATAGTTTTTAAGCTGTCAATGTTCATTTTCAACCTGTTTGACACTGTTCAAGTTCTCATTAAAGACATTCTTAGGTGTTTTCCCATCTGTGAGTGCCTCTGTGATGTTGCTTGAAGTATTTTGACAAAAGATGCTTAAGTAGGATTCTGCAACTATTGTTCTAGGTTAAATATTAAACCTACCTTCTCTTTAATCATCATGTCATATGCATAGGAAGGACTTGGCACACTATTTTCTTCTGAGAATCCATGATTTAAAAATTTTTTAAAATGTTTTATTTATTTCTGAGAGAGAGAGAGAGAGACAGCATGAGTAGGGGAAGGTCAGAGAGAGAGGGAGATATAGAATCTGAAGCAGGCTGCAGGCTCTGAGCTAGCCGTCAGCACAGAGCCCGACGTGGGGCTCGAACCCACAATCTGTGTGATCATGACCTAAGCTGAAGTCGGATGCTTAACCAACTGAGCCACTAGGCACCCCTGATTTTTTATTTTTATTATTTTTTTAATGTTTATTTTATTTTATTATATTTTAAATAGTTTACTGTTAAGTTGGTTTCCATATAACACCGCGGATAGTACAGTTTTAGAGAATCAGAAACTGGCAGCCCCAGCCACCCTGAGAAAGTAAGTTTCATTGGAGGAAAGAAGAAAAAACAGAAGAAAACTCACCGCTACCTCTTGCTCTCCCCTGCACTTGGTACAGGGCCGGGTGGTGCTGGACAGGGAGCCAGCAGGCGGCAGAAGCAGCTCCGCATTTACACAGACTTGGGCTTGACTCTGCTGCACCGGCAGCTGGGAGGTGCTCCATCTTTGTAAGACCCAGCANACAGAGCCCACTGCAGGGCTGGAACCCACAAACTGTGAGATCATGACTTGAGCTGAAATCAAGAGTCAAGATACTTAACTGAGTGAGCCACCCAGGCACCCCTGAGAATCCATGATTTGTTAAAGGATTTGGGACCTAAAGTTGAATACTGTTAAGAAGGCACTTACTTTTGGGGCGCCTGGGTGGCTTAGTTGGTTAAGCGTCCGACTTTCACTTAGGTCATGATCTCACGGTTGTGGGTTCGACCCCCGCGTCGGGCTCTGTGCTGACTGCCAGCTCAGAGCCTGGAGCCTGTTTCAGTCTGTGACTCCCTCTCTCTCTGACCCTCCCCTGCTCGCGCGCGCTCTCTCTCTCTCTCTCTCTCTCTCTCTCTCGGGGCTCGAACCCATGAGATCGTGACCTGAGCCGAAGTTGGACCTTTAAGCAACTGAGCCACCTAGGTGCCCCTGACACTTTAGAAAATGCACCCAACATAATGTGAGGTAAAGAGTTTTATTAAGAATTGAATAGACTGTCAAAATCATTCTAATATG